AAAAAAAAAAAAAATCACGCTAGACGCATGTGCATGCGTGCCCAAGATCCCCAGGGAGAATGGAGGCGGCAGCACTGGCCATCCCTCCGGGGGGTGATTTCTCACTTTCCCTCTGTCTCTCCTCTCCATGAGCGCACACGCCCTAAGACAAAAACACCCCTCTAAATAAGAAGCTAAGACATTTCATTTCAGTTTTTCAAAAAGCTAAGACTTACAATAATAACATAACTTTGATGATTAATAGCAGGAGTAATATATAGAAGTCTCGTGAAGAACATGCTCACACTCAGTTTTATCTCAGAGTACCACAATTAATACACGCTCCCTCTAACCAGGATTTTATTTATTTATTTGTAGTTTGTTGTAGGGTGTCGGTGCTCCCTGGAGAAAGATAGAGTAAGAGGAGAAAAGGAACAGTCACCCCTAGAGGGTTGGCCATGCCTCAAGCCCTTCCCTGTGAACAAGTATGTTTTAAGTCACTTGAATTTTTTTATTTGTTATTTTTCCTTTTTTTAATTTTGTGAGAGATTTTTGCTATAGGACGTGTGTGATCGGCAAAGAGGCAGAAAGAGACAGAGAGACAGAGAGGCAGAGAGAGACAGGCAGGAAGCGAGAAATCACCCCTCAGAGAGAATGGCCACGCAACAGTCCCTCCTCCGTTCTTCTCTAGGGATTTTGGGCACGCACACACGCATGCACACCCAGTGCACGCCACGAATCCAGAACTCAAACCACGGTCATCTGTGTGGGAGTCCAGTGACATAACCGTTATCTGCTGATCCCAGTCACTTGAGTTTTTTTTAAAAGAAAGGAAGGATAAAGAGTCGACCATGTAGCCAGGCGAGGCCAGGACAGCGTGGACTGGGTGGGCTGAAGGGGACGGTGATGGGGCTGGGGGGAGGGAGAGGCCAGAAAAGACGGAGACGCGGAAGAGCCGGGGTCTTGAGACTGAGGGTGCTCCGATGGCGCAGGGTCTAGGGTGTGACATTCTGGCATGTGGCTGAGGAGTAGACGCAGAGGAGGAGGGAGGGACCTGATGACAGGAAGCCTGGAGGTCTGCCTGGTGAAGGTGACTGATGTGGCCACAGATCCTGAGCCAACCTCAGCACGGGCCCTGGCTACAGGCAGGGAACACCAGTGCCTCCCAGGGTACCTTCATCCTGCCGCCTCTGACCACTCTGACCTGGGGTGGGAGGCAGCCTCTGTCCTCTTCTCCAGCAGGGGGCCCCGCTAGCCTGCTGTGGGACACCACGTGTCCACCACCCGGCCCGCACAGGCCACTGCACTGCCCGGAGCAGGGTTGGAGCTCCGACCGCACCATGGTGGGGCCTTTGGGCTCGACTGGGAGCAGCAGGAGGGGATGCCTGCTGGGCGATGCTCCACCCTTCAGGTGCCCACCTGGGGAGGGCTGGCTCTCCCACGGTGTCCCCCCTGGGCAGGTGGGCACTTGAGCCGGAGGCGCCCCAGGCAGTGCCTGTCCCGGGGTGTGCCGAGTTGGGGAGAGGCTTACCGCGTCTGACACGGAGCACGCTCAGAGAGGTCAGGTGGTGTACCCGAGGACAAACGGCAGGAAGCACAGAGCACAGATCAGACTCTGGGGACTGGAGGTTTTTCTGCCACGTGGTCTCTCATCCCTCCAAGTCCCCAGCTCCTGAGACAGGGCTGGGTCTTAACCCTGTCCAGGAAGGCGTCCCATCTGGGCCCCCTCTGTAGCCAGCAGGCCCCGCCCAGGATCGGGCGCAGTTAGCTGTGCCCGTTTCAGACCTGGCACCCGGACTTGTCACTGAGGCCTGCTCTCCGACAGATGTGGGGCGTGTTATTTACGCCGTCTGTGAGCAGAGCTGGGCTGAGGATGTAACGCGGGCGATGGCTCCTTCCTGGGTGTGAGACAGCACAGTGGCGCCTCCCCCCTTCTCGTGAATTACATAACAGGGATAGACTGGCGGGTCTGTCTGGAAGCACCACCATAACTGCAGACCACCAGGGCTTTGCACCTGTGCCAGGAGCTGCTGCTGGGCGCCTGGGCTTCCACCTGCAGCAGCCGGCTCCACACGGGGCGGGGCGGGCAGCGTCTCAGGCCGGGGAGCTGGTGTGCAGGGGGAGCAGTGACCCTCCTCCTGCCCGCTCCCCAGATCATTCTCAACTTCACGTCCATGGATCTGTACCGCAGCCGCCTGTGCTGGTACGACTACGTGGAGGTGCGCGACGGCTTCTGGAGGAAGGCGCCCCTCCGAGGTAAGCGCTGCGCCTTCCCTGCCTCCTCCGCCAATGCCTTCTTAGAAGCACCCCACCGCTCTCTCTTCATCCTCAGGGCCCCCCTCGGCCCAGGGTGCCATCCTAGTGTGCGAGCCCCCGCCGACGTAAGCTCTGTTGGCCGTGTGCCTTTGCACAAGCCCTATCCTGAGCGGGGCTGTGTAGTCCTCCGTGCTGGCTTCTTGGACAGACAGCCAGACAGGCTGCTGTGGAGGTTCTAGGACTTCGTTTCTCTGGGGTACCCCCAGCACAGCCTGGCTCAGGGGAGACTCCTCATCTACCCGCCAGTCAGTCTGTGACTCACGGTGAGGGCCCAGACCTGGCCTGGTAGCTCGACCCTGTTTCACAGGATACTGTGTCCTTGCAGTGTTTGGGGGATGTGAGTAAGGGGATCACAGTGTGCCCCAACCTCAGACCAGACAGCGTTAATGAACGCCGAAGGGGCGTGTGCCTGGTGTTTCTGCAAGGCGTCTGCGTCAAGCCCACGACTGTGCTTCTCCCTCCCTGGTCCCTGGACCTGAGCCTAAGGAGCTCAGACCTGCTCTTCCGCCAGGACGGCCTCCTCCCTGACAGTCTGGCCAGCCCTCTATTCCCGATATTCGGGTAGTTGTGACTAGTCGCCCGAAGCAGCTGTCATCACAGCTCCTCTTCCTGTAGACACCTTAGCGCGTCCAGGATTGCAGTTTCTCATAACTTACATTCCTAAGCCAGCACCCTCTGTCCCTCGCGGAAGGTCGGGAAACACCCAGCCTCATTAGGAACACACAGATCGTCCCTAGTCGACTCCTGACTGTGAAGAACCCCAGACGGCCAGCTCACCTGCTTCTGCTGACTCTTGCTGGGTTTTATTTCAAAGGGGACATTTTGTGACCCAGTCCCCAGATTCGGAGGTGGGGGGAGCTAGGGGGGCTGCAGTATCGTCTGCATTTGACCAAATGAAAAGATGCCGTGAGCCGTTTGTCATGTGCTAAGAAAGCTGTGTTCGTTTCTTGATTGTCACTTCCTTGCCTGGACACCAAGTGAGGAAAGGTAAGCCGAGGATGCTCATTGTCCTTCACAAGTACATGAGACTCTACGAGGGGACCTCGAAAAGTTCATGGAAAAGTGGCACTAAAGTACAGCCTTGGGGCCAGCCAGTGGCCCAGTGGGGGGCACGCCACAGTCCCATGCGGGCAAGTTCCTGTTTCAAGTCCGGAGACCTCTCTAGCATGCCAGCCACAGGCCTGTGTGTGTTCTGAGGCTGGCTGAGGCTGGCGGCTTGCCATCAAGACCCTGTGTAGGGTCCTGCTTGCTTTCTCATGGAAGAAATAAAGAAACAGAAACTTTTTAAAAAAGAATGATTTTATTTCATTGAATTAATTTATTATTATTATTTTTTAATTTGACCAGAGAAAGTAAAAGAGGGAAGGTAAGAAAGCAAGCCACCAGGTTCAGGACTTGAGCTGTGGTTGGCCATGTGAGAGTCCAGTGCCTTAACCAGCACGCCACCTACTGGCCCCAATAAAAACTTCTTTCAAAATAAAGTATAGGTTTAGGGCCAGCTCCATAGCCTGGTGGTTCAGGGAGCCAGATCCCGTGTGGTTCACCCCAGCTTCAGCAATTTGACAAACACACTAGGTGTGTGTGTGTGGGTGCCCAAGGCCCCGACAGGGTGGAGAAATGGAGAAGGGATTGCACAAGACCACACCCCACCAGGGGGCGCTTTCTGCCTCTCTCTCACACATGTGCCCTCTGGCAATTAAAGCACGACTTAATTTCGTTACAAAACGTCTTTGAAATCTGTGCATCATTTTCTCATAATACATATTTTCCATGAAGCTTTCGAAGCCTCGGGACGGTTGGATGTTATGAAGACCCACCTTTTCCCTAGACATAGACTCACTGGCTGTCCCTCCAGTGGTCTCTGGCTCGTCAAAGCGGAGTCGGACCTCGGGCCAGACCGAAGCCGACCACAGGGCATGGGGTGTTGGGAGGAGGCTGGCAACGGGAGGGTGGCTGCAGACCAGGCCGGGGCCCCAAGCCTCTTGGAGAGGGGCTTCCCTGGGCCTGACGGGCTCACCCAGCACCCCCTGTGCAGGCCGCTTCTGTGGGGGCAAGCTGCCCGAACCTATCGTCTCCACGGACAGCCGCCTGTGGGTTGAGTTCCGCAGCAGCAGCAACTGGGTCGGAAAGGGCTTCTTCGCTGTCTACGAAGGTACTGTGGAGGTGGGAGGGACGAGTCGGAAGGCCCCTGGGTACCCTACAAGGACTCCGTCCGGGGCCCACAGTGGGACTGGCCGGGGCTGGGAGGCTGTGGTAAGGGCTGGGCCTTACCACATCGCCCTGTCCCCAAAGCCATCTGTGGGGGCGATGTGAAAAAGGACAACGGCCACATCCAGTCACCCAACTACCCCGACGATTACCGACCCAGCAAGGTGTGCATCTGGCGGATTCAGGTGTCCGAGGGCTTCCACGTGGGGCTGACCTTCCAGTCCTTCGAGGTAGGTCGAGACGCTGCCGTCCCATACTCGGACCCTGTCACCCTTCCCTGGGGACCCTGGCAGCCAGAGCTCCTTCCTCTGATGGAGGCCTGGCCCCCAGATCGAGCGCCACGACAGCTGTGCCTACGACTACCTGGAGGTGCGCGATGGGCACAGCGAGAGCAGCAGCCTCATCGGGCGCTACTGCGGCTACGAGAAGCCCGACGACATCAAGAGCACGTCCAGCCGCCTCTGGCTCAAGTTCGTCTCCGACGGCTCCATTAACAAGGCTGGCTTCGCCGTCAACTTTTTCAAAGGTGTGTCCTCTCCCGCCATGGTTCCCTGCCCGCCCACCCCACTGCCAAGACGTTGTCATTTCTCCTTCACTCACTCAGTGGACACAGGGGACCAGAAAGAGGGGTGCTGAGCCAGGGATTGGCACAGGAGAGACCCCAGGAGTGGAGGGGGCCGCCAGCCTGGCCCGTGTGCTCAGAGGAAGGCTCCAGGGTTCCTCCTTGGGGTTCTGGGCCGCTGTGGGGGGCTGGGTGGGGCCTCACGCCGAGTGGGCACAGCTGCCTTCCTCCCCTGGAATGGAGCTGGGGTGGTCACAGGGAGCCCGAGGGACCCTGGACTTGACCCTTGTGCAGGGACCACGGTTCCAGGCCTGACACCCTTCCTTCCGCAGAGGTGGACGAGTGCTCGCGGCCCAACCGCGGGGGCTGTGAGCAGCGGTGCCTCAACACCCTGGGCAGCTACAAGTGCAGCTGCGACCCGGGGTACGAGCTGGCCCCCGACAAGCGCCGCTGCGAGGGTGAGTGCCCCCGCCATGTCCCCGTCCCCGCTTGATGCCCGCGGACAGCCCGTCCCGGAAATGCTGGCGCTCCTCGGCGCTCGGTCGTGCAGTCCTGGAACACACCGCCAGGTGTGCAGTGCACTCTGCTTCTTCCCGGTCTTAGTCTTCATCTCGTTTCTTTCTTTTTCTCCTTTTGTAAAATTTCTTTTTCTCCTTTTGTAAAATTGGATGAGAGGGAATCTGCACTCACCAGGGAGAGACGAAGAGGGAGGGAGAAAGCACCCCCGGGGCATGGCCACACTCACTGCCCTCTCCTCCACGTCTTCCTCCCTGCGGGTTTGGGCCAGCACACACGCGTGCCCGTGTTTCTCAAGCCACTGGGTCTGGGTCTTGAACTGTGTAGTTGGCCCTGTGATCTGGTTCCTTTTTTTGTTTTCCTTTTTTTGGAGAGGTTTTTTCGCTATAGGGCGCATGCGTTCGCCAGACAGACAGAGAGAGACAGAGAGACAGAAAGCGAGAAATCACCCCCCAGGGGGGATGGTCACGCCGCAATCCCTTCTCCTCCATTCTCCTCTCGGGATCTTAGGCACGCACGCACACGTGCCCGGTGTGAGTTTTAAGCCACTGGGTCTGGGACGCGAACCGTGGTCGACTACGTGGGAGTCCAGCGACATAGCCATTACGCTAACTGCTGGTTCCCAGGATCTGGGTCCTTTCACCAGGCCCTGGGGTCAGCTCTTTTATTCCTCTCATTTAGGTGTTTTATTGCCAGGGTACATGCGCTCACAGAGATAGAGGGCCAGAGAGGGGGTACCCCCAGTGGGGAGGCCACTGCAGCCCCTGCTCCATCTCCACCTTGTCGGGAGCTGGGGCACATGTGCACAAGCACCTGATGTGTTTGAGCCTCCAGGGCTGGGGCTTGAACCACTGTGGGCCATGCAAGATCCTGCCCCCTTAACTACTGTGCTGCAGGGCTGGTCCTTACTCGTTTATCGTAAACGCTGAGCTTGACCTGCTGACGGATGTCACCATCCACCAGGGGTCACGAGCCATGGTCTGGAGACCACCCAGTCTCAGCCTCCCTGCACTGACGTGCTGCTGACGGCGCTTGCAGGCCGCAAGTGCTCTCTGCACCAGGCTGCCATGACTCTGCTGTCCTGGCCCAGCCCACCTCCTCCCCTCAGGAGTCTGGCCGGTTCTCCCACGGAGAAGGTGGAGGTGGCCGCATGTGCAGCCCCTCCTCTGACTCCACTTTCCGGGGCACCCTCCTGGCCCTGCCCCCTTCCCGTGGGTCCCTTGGCCACAGGGAACCCACAGCTCCCCATCTCTCACGGTACCCAGCTCACATCCCAGGTCCTCCTGGAGCCGGGACCCTGGGGTGACGCCACCTCTGTCCCCAGCGGCCTGCGGCGGCTTTCTCACCAAGCTCAACGGCTCCATCACCAGCCCGGGCTGGCCCAAGGAATACCCCCCAAACAAGAACTGCATCTGGCAGCTGGTGGCCCCCACCCAGTATCGCATCTCCCTGCAGTTCGACTTCTTCGAGACGGAGGGCAATGACGTAAGGGCGCCGGCTGTGGAGGGGCCTGTAGCGGGTGCCGGCTTTCCTGCCTGCCAGAGGTCCTGGCAGACGCTGGAGACATGGGGGAGCAGAGGCTCCTTCCATCCAGGACAGCAGAGGCTGGAGGCTCGGGTTGGGGTCCTAGAAAACCAGAGCACATGCAGCAAGGGGGTTGAAGGAGGCGAGGGAGCCTGGTGCCAGGGAGGGCTTGGGCAGCCAGGGCTGGTGGGAGAGACAGGAGCCTCTGGTGACGGAAGGCTGAGGGCAGAACGGGATGGGGGCCCTCCTGGAGGAGGTAGGCCTGAGCTGGGCTGTCCACAGGTGTGCAAGTACGACTTCGTGGAGGTACGCAGCGGGCTCACAGCCGATTCCAAGCTGCACGGCAAGTTCTGCGGCTCCGAGAAGCCCGAGGTCATCACCTCCCAGTACAACAACATGCGCGTGGAGTTCAAATCTGACAACACCGTGTCCAAGAAGGGCTTCAAGGCCCACTTCTTCTCAGGTAACCGGCGCCCCGGCTCCTAGCCCTGCTTCCCCGAGGCGGGCCGCTCCCTGCCCTGCACCCTCAACTCCCCTCCCCAGTGCTCGGCCGCCTGCTCCCCTGCTCCCCTGCTCCCTCACGAGCCCCTCACCTCCTGGCCAGCCCCTCCGGCATCTGAATCTCATCATCACAGCCAGGCCCAAGGATGAGCATAGGCCTAAAGGACAGGGTAGGACAGTGTAGTGCTGACTGCCGCAGGGTGACCCAGGCGCCAGGAGTCCTGCTGGACACAGCTGGGAGAGGCGGGCCTGGGACCAGGAGTTCAGGGGGCCAAGGACATGGGGAGGAGAAGGGGGGGCCGTTTGCCTCAGGCCACATGGGGCAGGTCATCGGCTGTGACCCGACTTCCAGCCAGCTGCTGCACAAGCTGAACAGGTTGCTGTGGGGCCTGCAGGGAAGCCACGCCTCCCCAGGCTCAGGGCTGGGGAGTCCGCCCAAGTGGACTCGGAGCTGCCCCACAGGAGGCCTGGGCTCACTCAGATCCCTGGGCCTCTGGCCCTTTGATGGCCCTGTCTTTGGGTGCCATAAATGGCAGTCAGCAGCCCCCCACCTGACCTCTCTGAGCTGAGCCTGCTGTTGCTGTGGGGCCTGCAGGGAAGCCACGCCTCCCCAGGCTCAGGGCTGGGGAGTCCGCCCAAGTGGACTCGGAGCTGCCCCACAGGAGGCCTGGGCTCACTCAGATCCCTGGGCCTCTGGCCCTTTGATGGCCCTGTCTTTGGGTGCCATAAATGGCAGTCAGCAGCCCCCCACCTGACCTCTCTGAGCTGAGCCTGCTCAGCTGCTCTATGAACCCCTGTCTTTTGCCCTGCTCTATGAACCCCTGTCTTTTGCCCTGGACGAGACGGCTGGTCCTCCAGAGCCACAGTCCCTGGGCAGCAGGGAAGGGAGGGCCCAGTGGAGGCTGGTGGCTGGCCGAAGCAGCCCCAGATTGTCACCAACATGCCCGGTGGACTGGCCCTGGGCAAGCAGGAGGGAGGAGAGCCACAGCCGGGGCCACGCTGCCCTCCTTCTCCCCTCCTTTGCCCAGGATCCTGCATCCTCGCCCTCTGTGGCCGCCCTGCACCCTGCCCACCCCACTGGATGCCACGCACCCACCCCTGCACATGCACGGGTTCCCTGCTTGGCCCCGCCAGCCCCCTGCTCTGCTTTAAGCGCCCCTGGCCCTCACCCACTGCTTGCTGAGCCCCTCCCCTGCAATGCCAACCCCTTTCTCCCTGGTGCCCACCCAGAACTCCTACCAGGCGCCCTCGGAGGGCCGAGGGGACATCACACCTGCTCAGGGTGGGCTGCCCCGGGGAGACCATTACCTGCTTACTCCGTCTCTTCCTGCCCTTCTGTTCTCCAGTCTTGGAGGGGGCGGGGGGGCCACACTCTCCTGTCAGGCCTGGAATTACTGCCCTGCCCCCGCCCTCATCCCCACCCCTGGCATGACACTGGCCATACCCCACCTTCGGTCATGCAGAGACATGCACATGTGTGAACACATACACACATGTGCTGCCCTGTCGCATGAGAAACCCGCAGAGGACCCTCACCAGTGGGCACCAAGGTTCAGTCTACAGGGCGTGGGGCAATGGCCCCAGCCTCCCAGGAGGGGGCTGTTTGGACTTTGGGACACTTTGGGACACTTTGGGACACCCATCGAGGAGACCCTAAGCCAAGAAGGACGAGAAAAGGCCTGAGGACCTTCAGTCTGACCCCAGCCACCTCCCGGCATATGGGCACTGGGGTGAGTGCCGACTCCCTGTCTGCTCCCTGCCCCGCCCTGCCACCTGCTCCCCCAGGTGGACAGGACACCGGAGCAGCCTGCCCAGAGCTCATCTGCAGCACTGTCCCTGCTCCCTCACTCACCAGGTGTCTACCTCGCTCCCGGGAGACACTCCTAGGCGTTGGGGCATGAATACATGTGAGGAAGGGGGGTGCGGGCATGTCGGGGTTGGCTCTGCTCAGCCCATGAACCGGGCCCCCCCGGCTCCCAGCAGTCATCATGCTGTCCTCAGTGAGCCCAGGACAGGTGTAGGGGGCTGCTCTGCCCATTTCCTGCAGGCCCAGTACCAAGGCAGCTTCGGGAAGCCCTAGTCAGGCCCCCTGATGTGCTGCTGAGAAGGAGTCCTGAGGAAGGACTGGGGGACCCTTCCCGGGACCCCCAGGGGTCTCAGCCACCAGAGTGGGAGCTGATACTGCACCTCGGGCCCCTCCCTGCAGCCCCACCACCCCTCTGAGTGTCTGCCCCTCACGGGTCTTGGTACCCACGGCTCCCTCGTCTCTGCATGCCTGCCTCTCTGCCAGGCCTGCCGCCCCAGTGGCCACAGTCAGAGCTGAGCACGTGTAGCTGCAGCACACACAGCTGTGACCATGTGTGTCCCTGCACCTCAGTGCACGCGTGTGCCATGTGAGTGCGTGTTCAGGCCCACTGACGCCTGAGCACCCACAGGTGTGAGCGGTCTGCTAGTGAGCCCGTGCATCTCAGCACGTTCCTGCACGTGGGTGCCCGTGAGCACGCGTGTCTACACCTGTCCGCGTGTCGCTTCTTCACACATGTGCAGCATACGGGCTCTGCGTCGCTCGTGCACACTGCCCTCGCCCGGACAGTGACACTCTGTGTGCATGTGTGTCAGCATCTGCTGGGCACGGAGAGGGGCTGCGAGCGTCTGTCCCAGCCCTGTGTGCCGTGTGCGCAGACATACGTGTGCGTGGCTCAGCGTCCGTGTCACCGGGTTGGAGGACACAGGATGACCACGCCCTGCCCCGTGCAGGGATCCCGAGTGAGGGGTGCTGGTGTGAGTGGGGCGTCTGTGTCTCACACACTGTGGGTGCTCTCACGAAGCCTTTCCAAGTGTCGCTCCCCTACCCACAACCCCGAATTCTCTCTCCTTCCCAAAGTGGTTAGTGGTGCCACCCTCAGGCCTTCTCCTACCACAGGCTCTGTCTCCTGTTGACCCTGTGGCCATGCCTCGTCCTAGCTGCTAATACCCCCGTGACCTGGCTGCGCTGAGGACATGGCCGAGCTGCATGTGTCCCGCCTGCCCCCAACCCTGCCACCCGCCACCCCCTCCCTGGAGCCGTCTGAGGCTTGGGGTCTGGTTTTCACTGCTGTCCCTCCCTGGCCCCTGCCCTCCACCCCTGTCCTCGGTCCCTTTTCTCCTTCTCTCTCTCGTTTCAGAAAAGAGGCCAGCTCTGCAGCCCCCTCGGGGACGCCCCCACCAGCTCAAATTCCGAGTGCAGAAAAGAAACCGGACCCCCCAGTGAGGCCTGCCAGGCCTCCCGGACCCCTTGTTACTCAGGAACCTCACCTTGGACGGAATGGGATGGGGGCTTCGCTGCCCCCCACCCCGCCTCCGCCCTGCCATTCCGGCCCGCCTCCTCCGCCGGACAGAACTTGTGCTGGCCTCGCA